AGCATCTCATTCATAAATAGCTGGAACATGCGGTCAGACAATGTCTTGTTATTGTTGTGTTATTGTTTTAGATTATAACGAGTGCGACACGAGCGACAGATAAGTTGTCTCTGTCGTAACGGTCGTTCCCTGACGACTCTGCCGAGAAACACAACACTGTCTTTCGTTTCTCAAGTACACCTGAACTCTCCGTATCATAGCCGGGTAATTTTTTTATTTTAATGAAGCTATAATTAAATTAAAAATATATCGTATTTAAACTTTTTTATATTTTATTAAGATTTAGGACAGGTTTTTTAAATAAAAGTTTAGAAAAAACGTCTTAGAGTCCAAAAAGGATAAAAATAATAAAATACACGTTATAGAAGAAATTTTATAGTCGAAATTACGTAATTTTTGAAATTAATTAAAAATTATTAATTTTAGTCAAACATTTACAACCCCTAATATTAATCAAAACAGGATCTATTCCACAGATATAATAGAATCGGCGACAGGGAGAGAAAAAAAATATAATTGTTGTAATTTTTTTTCTGGTTAAGTGATGTCTTATTATGTAAATTAGAGAAAACATATATCTGTTCGATTAAAGCAAGGAAGGTGATAGGAAGTGGATAAAATGAAAACTACATTTATTTAACTCGGTACTGTCTTTATTATACCGGGTGCGTCCCAAAAGTGGCTCATCCCCATAATTCTTTATATTTTAAAATAAAAAAACAAGATTTAGTATGTTAGTATATGACATAAATTAGGATTGATTGACGCATTCAATTGTTTTTGGTCACTTCCTGTTTCACCGGAAATGACTATAACTTTTAATTTTTAAACGGCACCCTCGATATATTTTTACTTTATTCGATAGAAAATGACACTCTGAATAGACTGACATATCATATGTCAACTTTTGACATTTTCGCATATGGTTTAATTGTAATTGTAACACGCGGTTCATAACGACAATTTGACTCGAAATACCAAGCGTGTGGTATCAATATTGTTAGATTTATTTATCACGAGACCATTTTTAAGTAGGTAAATGCGGCATGGTTTGAAATTGATACGATGTGTTATTGTTTATAAAAAGTGATTAGGTCCGTCTGGCGACGTTTACGAGTATTGATGAGGAAGGCATATTTTTGGTGGGAAAAGGAGTCTGAGTCAGTCAGGTTACAGACCTGAAACTGGAGCCTCCTTATTTTGGTTCCTCCACGCGAAAAATCTAACAATATATTCATAAAAAAATGCTTTTTTCAAATATGCTAATGAGTCACCCTTGTTCCATTTGTAAAAAATTGACATATGTATGATTAAAAATACGCGATTTGTACATCTTTTAACCGGCCTAGACAAGACACGAAACCTATTAGACGATCAAAACTATTTTTCCAAGGCTCCTTGATTAAAACTTAGTGTTTTTAACAACACCATGGCACTCTGGATTGAAATTTAAAATACGATTTGTTTTTAAGCGACAATGTCAAAAGTTGACATATGATATGTCATTCTATTCAGAGTGTCATTTTTTATCGAATAAAGAGCAATATACCGAGGTTGCCTTTAAAAATAAAAAGATGTAATCATTTCGGTGAAACAGGAAGAGACCAAAAACAACTGAATACATCAATAAATCCTAATTTATGTCATATACCTATAACATACAAATCTGTTTTTTTTATCTGAAAAAATAAAAAAGTTATAGGGGGTGAGCCACTTTTGAGACGACCCGGTATATTAAAAAATATTGTTTCATAATGTAATATCAATTTAAAATTCTTGTATGTTATTTTATATGCTCAAGATAATTTTAGAATAAACCATATTTTTAATAAAATCATTATTAATTATTAACAGGGTTATAATTATGACTTTGTTACAATGTAAGTAAGTAAATAATGTAATGAGAAAAAATTCAGATTTTACATTTTACTAAAATATTATCTAAATAAGCGCCTTTCTACAACAACGCCACTGGCTCCCAATGGGCAAATTGAGAGTTGTCTACCGGTCGAAAGTCGTTTCAAGACTTAAATGGATTATTTAAGTCAAATTTCTTGCAAATTTGGCACTGGCGAACCATATTTTATAGTTCTTGAACAGAAAAAGTCAATAAAATAAACACTTAAGGACTACAAACTAAGAAAATGCGTTAATACAGCCGGGGACATAGCGGCATCAAAGCTTTACCGCACACTTGCCACGCGTACTACAAGGTAATAAATGAATGAATAGGCTCCCTCGCCTCTAATCGGTGTTATCATATTGTAAAGAACTTATCCTTTTTGAACAGTATCCGACTTATAATTTAGTAGTATAAGGACTATTTAATACATCTATGGAATATTAAAACCTACTTTATTAAACTGTAGTATTAATATCTCAATATATGTGTATAACAAGAAAAAAAATATTGATAAAATTAAAGACGGGACAACATAGGCTGGATGAGGAAGGCTCGGTCAACTGTACCCAGAAGTAAACATGTGTACAAAAAAGATTGTTTGACCGCGTTGAGATGTAAATAGTGTAGTCTATATTTTATTTTAAGTCTATGGTTATCACTATTATTGCTGACATTTTTTGACGGAAATTAAATAATACGACTAGGAATTTTTGCTACAGGGCGAAAAGAGTAAAAAAAGGCGTAATGGAAGGTCAAAAAAAATACGAAGTTTTATAAAAGGACTTTACAGGTATATTTTTTTATTTACGAAGAGTTTATAGCTCTTATGGACCAAAAACGTTATCAAATTACTGTCGAACAATCATTTATTTCCCGCTAATATGTTAAAACTCAATCAACATTCCTAAATATTCAAATAATCAGGGATAAATTAGATATGACTGCAAAACTCAAAGAGAACGAGACAAGTGGCAAATATCATTTAACAGTATTAAATAATATGATAATATGCGAAAAAAACGTATTCAACTTCAACAAAGGAAACCATAATATACACCTCACAAAAAATTTCACAACACTTATATTTTTCGTAGTATTTATTCTTGAAACGCTTCAAACATTTTTATGTGAAAAACTTAAATCTAAGGTCTGCCTGAGTTATGATATACTTTCCATTCCTTAACAAGTTTCTATTAATGCAAATAACTTTTGAGACTATTGTTAACCAAGAGAATTTAAGAATACTTTGCAGTTTTTCAAATTAATAAGTGATGCAATAATTTATGTGGGGTGTATATTATTCCAAAATAACATAATATGTAAGGCACTTACATAAAACATGCTTAAAAATAATTCTCAATTTCTTCTCCATCCATATACAAGAGCTTTTTCGCTTCCGGAAACAAGTCTACTTTTTTATTTTTAGAGTGCTTTGGTCTCAGATGTGAAAGTAGAGGATCTGAATATATCAATAAGTTGTGCAATATATCTTCAATAGTTTGGCACCAACAATGATACAGCATTGAGGGTGGAGTGTTAAATACATCGAAGAAAATTTTGCCGGTTTGAAAAAATATTTTCTTGGGTAATTTTTCTCCAATGTTGAGATTTTCTGAATTGTTGTAAGCTGTCCCCCACCCCAATGTGAGGATGGTTTCTCGTCCCTAAAATAGCATTCAGTATGTTCATAGCAAGCGTATAGCTTTTTCAATAAAGAAATTATAGCACAAAAAATTACGGATAAAAACTACGGTCGAATCAATGGAGAACGTAATTATTTCCGAAGAAATTTTTTTTTCTTCCAAGTTCGGATCTAGGTGGATGAAATTTTTATGTAATAGTATACTAGAAGGTTCACTCTATGACATTTTGTATATATAACATTGCGCGAATGTAAACGTTTTTTTGAAAGTCATAATAAACATATAGAAACTGGACTTGAATAAAATTGGGACATTTTTTCAGGTTTGTTGTTGGTAAAAGACCTCTCTTTACGGAAAAAAATTGTTGGAATTGAACAACACAAGGAAACTTCTGAAAATAATAAATTTCATTGTATGAAATTTTTGTACAGATTTGGTAAATTAAAGAAAACCATAACTTTAACCCGCCATAACTCCCCGACTAAGAGGTCAACTCAAGAAATATCTCACATGGTGGGGCTCTGGGATGTCCTTTATCCATCTATATAAAAAACTTGACGAATTAAATTTCTCTCATTTCCCGATTTCGTTACACTGTGCGCCGTAACTTTCATAAGTTAATGTTGATTAACCAGTTAGCAACCCATCAGAGCAAACTCTTTGTCTTCAATTTTCTCGAAAACCATCGCTCTGGGCGATGTGCAACAAGAGCACCTTTTTTGTAGGAAAAAGTATGTAGTTTTCAAAAAATAAACCCACCTTGCAAAAAAAATAACCTCAAAAAAGTTATTCACGAAACAACCCCCTACCCTTGCAAAAACTGCCCTTTGCGCTTTTCCGAATAATTTTTCAGTATCACCATTTGATTTAGGGTCAAAATTTATGGCAGAGGATTTTTTTTTCGAAATTTAATCTCGTTCTTTAAGCCTACAATTTTAAAATCATCTTTCAATGCCTCTAACTCCCTTAATATGCATTTTCCGTCCTACACTTATAGGAACTTTTTTTATTATTTTTAGGAGTACTATCACCCTTAGATTTTTTTACACCATTTCAATGACACCCTGTAGATCACTGTAATCACAAAACTTTAATCTATTTCCGTATTGTAACGGAATTTTAAATTATGTATTTATTTTTGAGAAAATTTAATCCAAACATAAGGAATATCTTGTTGATTACCTTCAAATCTTAAAAATAAAGAAGTTGTCTAAAAATGTGCTACAATACGGATATAGTATAATCCTTTATCTTTAATTTCCTTCTTCATTTGTCAACAGATTCTGTGGGGAAAATGAGGAAACACTTTAGTACGACTGATATGGAAGATGAAGAACTAACTTCTGTAAAACCGTCTCAGATACTGTCTTTTTCAAAAACCCCTGAGACTGCATGATGAGTTATAACTCAATAAAGGTTTACACAACAAGAAATAAAGAATAGTTTTAGTCTATTACTTTTTATTAAAGTTTATATAGCATTTACACGATTATCGTTTCTTAAATAGACACCAAAAGTAAATACACTGTTAGATGTACAATAAATACACGTATAGGTGTTTAATTCTTTTTACCACAATTTGCATTTGGTTGAAGGGTTCATTGGACTGTCCAATGGACAGCTGAAAGCTTCAGCAAAGTCCTCCATGTTAGATACAACTCCATTAACACGGATCTTTGCTCTTGATGACAACTGCTGCTAGTATCGCAAGTTTGTTTCCAGTAGATTCAGTGTATTCTAATGATTCGTTGTTACACCACATCTAAGAAATTAAGAAAAATGAAGAAATATTATAATTCTAGAGAATATAAAGTTGAAAGTTTCTCGATCAGTTTTAAACCAAAAACTCTTTTTTGTACGTTTTTTTTTCTGTCTTTTTTAATTTGTCTTGACTTACCGTTCCAAACCCAATAAAAACATCTGATCCGTAGTAAACTGCTCTGATTTGAACTGAGTTTCTGAGTTCTTCGTTTTGGCCAGTTTCTTTTTTGAGTGCCTTCAAGGCTGTTCTTGTACCTCCATTGTCTGCAAGATTTTCATTCAAACTGTTACTGCTGTCCATCTAAATCAACCAAAAAAAAAAAAGAAATTTTACGAAAACATTTTTTGAAGAAAAACTTGGAATTATACAGGGTATTCGCCTCGGTTGATTATACGAAAACAGAAAGATGTAGAAACAAATTATTTTATGAGTATATGTGGGGAGACACTATGCATAATTTAAAATTATCTTAAAATGTACAGGGTGTGTCAGAACTAAGATCCATACTAAAGTTATATTTTTTCTCACGGAACACCCGGTATTTGATTTCATTTTTGAATTCTTGGAGATAAATCTATTGTCGATTTTGAAAATAGCTACTAACTGTCAGTAACAAATTGCCATGGCGACACAAGCCATCTTGATTGCCATTTTATTGAAAAATCGCTTTTTATTCATAATTTGAGCCAGATAGGTATAGAAAGAAGTTTTTATGTAAAATATATATTGAAAATAGACCAGCAATTTTTGATACTCCTGTATACATTTAAGTAGATACCACATCACAACCCATAAAAATTTTGTTTCTACATCTTTTCGTTTTCGTATGATCAACCGAGGCAAATGAAGTGCGTCACCCTGTATACAATACAGGGTGGTCCGAACTGTATTCCGGAAACTTCGACAGCATATTCTGCAGATAAAAATAATTTAAAAAGTTTATATAAAGGTATGCCCTAAAATGCTTAATTTCGGAGATACAGGGTGTAGAAGTTTCATTTCTATTTCGCTTTTTTTTTAAATAATTTCTGAAGTAATGTAAATATTTGGATAAAAATTAATATTATAGGGATTTTTTGATATGAGAAATTTGATTGTGATGTCAATATGACTCCTGTTTGTAAGGGGCGCCACCTACATGTGTTTTAACTGTTTTGAAGAGTAATAACTTTTCGTCCGTACCTGTATAAAACTACTGAGTGAAAAAATATACATGTCCGTGAATTTTTATGTAAAAAATGTCTCTCGGTAAAAATCGCTATACGAACACTTTTACATAATATTTTTTATCTGCAGAATATACTGCCGAATTTTCCGCAATACAGTTCGGACCACCCTGTATATTAATATTTTACTTACTGTGGCATTTAACTCTGGGACAATATACTTGGAATATTGATCAACAAAACATAGTGTTTTGTTTTTAAAATTGATTTGTGTCTGTGTTGTCCACCAGGGTTGGATCAGGCAATCCTCATTGTACAAGTAACCAACATTATCGAAACCATGTGTAATTTCGTGAGCCACTATCATGCCAATTCTACTATAATCTAGAAGGCTGAAAATCATGCTTTATTAATAAAATAAATAATAATAAAAGTAATTTATTACAAAGACTTTATTTAGGTTAAAATGTATATAAAAACAAAGAAACCCAAGAAGGGATGTTATCACCTAAAAATTGTACTATATTTAGTACAAAATATTAAGTACATTTTTTCTGAGATGATTAAATACAAGTTAAACTCATTTTTACCTGATGGATCCACTAAAGAATATTGAATTCAGCATCGCAACTGGGAAAACTTAAAAAAAAAAATAAGATAACATTAAAAAACAAAAAAAATTGATAAAGATATCGCAGTATTTCTGTTTGATTGTGATCTTAAAAAAGCCTAAATAATACTCAGGAAGATGTTACTTACTTATCTTATTATTTTGGCGGTTATAATATGCGTTAGTTATAAATGGTGATTTGTCCCAACTAAAATAAAAATAATCGTTATATTTTATAGTTATTTATTTTATAATTTTTATAATTGTTGTTGTGACATTATTTAGATCAGTGTTAATTTTCATTTTATATTATTACTCAAAATCTATATTGTATTCATGGTTGTTACCTATGCAGGATTGTTCACCACATACGACACGGAGTATTGTAGCTAAACGATTAGACTTTTACAAATTGCACGTTTTGGGTTCGTTGAAGGACTATTAAAGCTACAATTAAAACAAAAATTTCTACGATTAAAATAAAGGTAAATTTGATTAAGGTTTATCACACTTAAACCTTACCGTTTTTGAAATATTTTCAATTTTGTGAAATTGCAGTAAAAAATATAAGGCTTTATTTCTCCAAGGGTATCAAAGTTTTTAATACTAAATATTTACTGAAGATTATTTATTGACCAGATATCGTATTGCAATAATAAAAATTATACTACCTTATGTCCAAAAATGTATATTAAATAATTACTAGCTTTAAACGGTAATAACTTGGAACACCTTGTATATTTTACCAGAATCAGATGCACAATTTAATTGCCTATCAATTTCGCATTTTCGAATAATTTAGGTCTCATGAAACCTCTCTGAAAGTTTGTTACATTTTTAAAAATAATCTAAAATGTCAATATTCCATAGGTATTGATAGTGATAACTGAGGTCTGAGGTCTAAATTATAAGAAAATGCATTTTCTACAAAAATTTGAAAAGATAGGTAAAAAATGGTATAATACAATTTGATAGACAATTAAATTGTGCATCTGATTCTCCTAAAATATACAGGGTGTTCTGTTTAAATTAAACAAGTTATTGCCGGCCGTTTAAAGTTAGTAATTATTTAATATACATTTTTGGACGCTCTGTATAAAGTAGTACATATAACTTTTATTATTGCAACACAATATCTGATCAATAAATAACCTTCAGTAAATATTTAGTATTAAAAACTTTGATACCCTTGGAGAAACCAAGCCTTAACATTTTTACTGCAATTTCACAAAATTGAAAATATTTCAAAAACGGAAAGGTTTTAGTGTGATAAACCTTAATCAAATTTACCTTTATTTCAATCGTAGAATTTAAAAATAGAATAATATACAGGGTGTTCCATTTAAAAAAAATACAAGTATAATATTTTTTACTTACTTCAGACACTCTGTATCTTGTAAAAATATTTTTAAATTGTAGCTCTAATAGTCCTTCAAGGAACCCAAAGCTTCCAATTTGTAAAAATCTAATCGTTTAGCTAAAACACTCCGTGTCGTATGTGGTGAACAACCCCGTATATCTATGGTTAGCGGAACAAAAACGATATAAACTTAGTTGTATGAATTCAGTGAGAAATAAATCGTTTTATTTGATGCTAAAGCTAAAATTAAAAGAAAAATCTTACGCTGCTCTATCCCTTTTAGAGAACATGTTCAACACGTAAGCTTGCTTGAACGCTCGCAAAATTTTTGAGTTTCCATAGTGATCCCACTTGCAGATAGGCAGATTTTCGTAAAACTGGTCCAGAAGAAATGAATTTGAAGTAAATCTTGGATATCCTAGGTAAAAGTATACGAATCGTTAACATAGAAAAATATTTTTGATTTGTTTTTTATTTACCTAGAAGAGTTATAATGTTATGAACTTTTCTCAAAGCGGCTTCTTTGGATGTTTCGTCCATCCAGTCTGTTTCGTTTATCACTTCTTTAAAGGTCGTTTGAAGGTCTTCAATTAAATCTCTAGCCTTAATAAGATAAAAAAAATAGTATATTGTTTTATTAGGAGTAAAAATTACTCTTTTTGCGGCTGTACGTTCGACATACAGCCGAGGTACAAAAATCATTTTTACTCCGAATAGAACATACTGTTTTACATATACAAAAAGGTTTATAAGTCGTATATTGGACAGGGTGGGTCAAATTCGACGCTTTTAAATGGAAACACCCTTTTCTATAGACACCCTGTATAATTCTATATATTTTTATAAAATGCTTTCAGTAACTTGCTTGCTTGATAATTCAATGACGGTATATAAACAAAAAAAACAGGTTTATAACAATATCTTGACGATTTGAACTGGCGCGCGGAGCGTACTGACCAATAGCGCCTGTTATCACCTGTGACGTAGCGACCAACCTGCGCAATATCATACCTTGTATTCTTTGTACCATGGACAAAAACTAATATCGGTGTCTGGAGCTCAATTTTTGTCAAAAACATGATGGTGAAAACCGCATATCGATATCTGTTAGCGTTTCGGAGTTACGGGGTGTTTTTCAAAAATATGCATTTTTAACAAATCGCTGTAACTTTTTGCTATGGAAAATTTTGTATTTTATGAAAACATTTCCAAAGCACCTTTTTACGTAAATTTAATGGTTTAAGTATAAATTTTCTAAAATTAATAATTTAAGGATTATCGACAGAAAATTTGATTTTTTATATGGGACACCCTGTATACTTTTAATTTGTTGAAAATACTTTAAAATTACCTTTTCAAAAATATAACATACTTGATATTTTGCTCGATTCCTCCTCGAGATATAGAGTATATAAAAATTCGCCGGCTTTAAATAAGTAGGTAGGCTTTGAACGGCACCGGCTGTAATGCAAAAAAGCTGTGAGCATCAATTAAAACGAAAATAATATTTGCTATGAGAGATGCAGAATTTTATACCAATTTAAAATATATTTAACCAACATCAACACATTTAAACTATATCTAATAACAATAAAAATAAATAGCAAACCAAGACATAAGATTTTGCTACAGGTGTTCGACATATCGACCGTCTTCTGTTATGGACAGACGGAGCAGTTTTTGAACATTTCTCGCGGAATTCATTAACTCAGTGGGTTTGAAAGATACCCTCTCATAACTGCTAAGTATTTCTAATTCTTGTCTAGATTATACGGAAGAATAAGGAACCTTTATTCTTCCGCAAATATATCCATAGGATTAGGTCCATGGGCACTAAGTCAGGCGGCCTCGACGGCCAACGGCTGGGGTCTTGGTTAGTTATTCAATTATTCTTGAAATTGGCTGCAAAAATTTGCTGATAACAGCGTTCAGAGGCGGTGCGTCGTCTTGCTGGAAAAATATGTTTTCGAGTTCCATTAAGGGCATATCATCAATAAGGGGTCCAAAGCCTACTAGTTAAAAGTGGCGAACTTTTAAAAATTCTGTATTTCGAAGGGGATCATAACAAAATATCAAGTGTGCTATATTTTTGGAAAGGTAATTTTAAATTCTTTTCAGTTAATTAAAAATATAGAGGTGTCCCAAATAAAAAATCAATTTTCTGTTGATAACTCTTAAATTATTAATTTAAAAAAATTATACTTAAACCATTAAATTCTACGTAAAAGGTGCTTTGGAAATGTTTTCATAGAAATACAAAATTTTCCTTAGTAAAAAAGTTACAGTGATTTGTTAAAAATGCACATATTTGAAAAACACCCCGTAACTCCGAAACGGTAACAGATATTGATGTGCGGTGTTCACCATCATGTTTTTAATGAAAATTGAGCTCCAGACTCTCCTATAGAAAAGGGTGTTTCCATTTAAAAGCGTCGAATTTGACCCACCCTGTACAGGGTGGCGCATGGTGCCTCCCATACGCCGCGGAAGCTCCAAGGAGAACAGTAATTTATATCGAAATGAAATTTTGGCAGCATATATAGGTTAACTGAAAGCATTTTATAAAAATATATAGAATTATACAGGGTGTCCCCAAAAAAAGTGACAGATCAAAGTTGTGTTTTTTCTAATGGAACACCCTATATATTAATTGATTTTCAGATTCTAGAAAAAAAATAAAGGTGAATTTAATTAAAAAAGTATATACCTAAAATCTAAGGATTTTGACATATTTCACATTTTGTGAAAATGACGAGTAAATTTTAAATTTCGATAACAGCTACCTAAATTTTAGTTGACCTGGTATAGCCTGATATTTAATTACAGTAACCATTGTATGTTAAACCAAATTGAAATTTGACCCGAAAAGTTATACAGGGTGAGACAAAATTTATATGGAACATTAGTCACTTTTAAAAGCAAGTTACTCCTGTATTTTAAATGGAACACCCAATATATTTTTCCGGTGTTTAATGAGGAATTTATATATCTTCAAAATATTATTAAGGTTGCCTACCCCTAAGGTGCCTACCCCTATTAAGAGTTTCCTAGATATTTTAATTTTTATGATTTTGCGTCATTGGATCTTTATTATCTGAAAAAATCTAGGTGGCTGTGTGATATACCTTTTGTTAATTTAACAAAAATTAAAGATTGTAGAGTAAAATGCTCAACGGTAATAAAAAGATACACGTTTAAAACATATTTTAATTATTACAGAATTAAAACTAGATATAAACTTATAATTTTGTGATAAAAATTAGCTAGATGAAATCAAATGCTCAAAATGCTCCCTTTCCTGTTAACTGCATAAAATGATTGTCGTTTCAAAAGGATCTTTTTAGACTAGATAAAATCAGTTAGTGAATGCACACTCCATTCACTAACTAATATAATCATATCAGTTCTTTCTGATGTAGGATAAGTTTGCATTTTCGGCAAATTTCTGAGATTTTTTTTTGTTTAACTGACACAAAATGATAACTAGTTGTTAAAATTGGACTAAGTAGACAACTATGTTGAAGTAACGTCAGACCATATCACATCCACCTAGATTTTATCAAATAATAAAGATCTACTCAGATCAAATCATGTAAATGAAAATATCTAGGAAAATCTTTGTTTGATGGGTAGACAACCTTAATGGTATTTTGAAGAGACATGAAGTCTCCATTGAATATCGGAATAATATACTGGGTGTTCCATTTAAAATCAAAGAGTAACATGCTTTTAAAGGTAACCGTTGTTCAATATTAATTTTTTCTCACCCTGTATAACTTTTTGGATCAAGTTTTAAAGTCCAATAGTTAATTTAGCTACATATTAGGCTATACCGGGTAAATTGCAATTTAGGTAGCTTTTATTGTAATTTAAAAATTGTTCTTTATTTCTAGAAAATGTTAAACATGTTAATCATGATAACATCTACATGATAATGTTAAACATGATAAAAATGTTAAACATGATAATGTTAAACATGATAAAAATCAATTAATATATAGGGTGTTCCATTACAAAAAACACAACTTTGATATGTAATCTTTCAGTAAGAAATGTTATATCATATCGGAACAATATCATTTGGAACGCTTAGATTTTTATATTTTTTTTACTTACAACATCAAATTTAGTTTTGTTGAAGTACCTCAACTGATATTCGTAAACCACTGCCAAACTCAGGGATAAAGTTTCAGTAATATCCATGAGTTTCCTCGAGCAATATTGCCATCTAAAAGCGAATTCATTAGTTTTATATTTTTTTCCAAAAAAAAAATGTACCTAGGGTATACAGTTTTTCCTGTATCCTCCAGATATGTTTCAAAATCAGTTCGAGTTTCTTTGTCACTATCGGATGCCATATAAACAAACACTTTAAGTAAAGCGGTACTCTTTACTATTTTACTGTCTGTCATGTTCACCCAGTTCAATATGCCATACAGGGTCTTCGTAAAAGACCCTGTTACAATGACCGGTGTGTTTTTGTCAATTTCTGCATAGGTATATTTAAAAACTCTTTTTATGTACTCCACCCAATCTATCTGGAAAAAAGTATATAATTATACAGGGCGAGTCTTAAATTAGAGACTCCAGACCTCGATTTTTTTTGTAAAGTTGGAATTTTTTGAAAATATTTTTAGTTTTTAGTTAAAAAACATAATTTCTTGATAATGTGGCAACATAGGAGTAGATTAAAGTTGTGATAAATAACAAGAATCCATAAAAACCATTTCTTTGTATTTTTTTTGCTTCCGACGACGGAAAGAGATATATTTTCCGAAACGTTAAGCATTTTAAGGTTTGGTTGGCTTACCTGAATCGTGTTGCCAAACTGTTCAACCGTCCAGTTATTCAGTGTTTCCAGTGTAACGGTACCTTCAAGGGATCCTGGATTAACACCATCAGGCACATACTAAAAAGTATTATATAGAGAAATTAAAATAACTTCCGTTGCACATCATAATACGACCACCAGCAAACTCCATAAGACAACGCATGGTGTCATTGATGAGCGTGCAACCATAGACTTAAAATAAAATATAGACTACACTATTTACATCTCAACGCGGTCAAACAATCTTTTTCGTACACATGTTTACTTCTGGGTACAGTTGACCGAGCCTTCCTCATCCAGCCTATGTTGTCACGTCTTTAATATTATCAATATTTTTTTTTCTTGTTATACACATCTATTGAGATATTAATACTACAGTTTAATAAAGTAGGTTTTAATATTCCATAGATGTATTAAATAGTCCTTATCATAGACTTAAAATAAAATATAGACTGAGCATCTCATTCATAAATAGCTGGAACATGCGGTCAGACAATGTCTTGTTATTGTTTTGGGTTATAACGAGTGCGACACGAGCGATAGATAGTTTGTCTCTGTCGTAACGGTCGTTCCCTGACGACTCTGCCGAGAAACACAACACTGTCTTTCATTTCTCAAGTACACCTGAACTCTCCGTATCATAGCCGGGTAATTTTTTATTTTAATGAAGCTATAATTAAATTAAAAATATATCGTATTTAAACTTTTTTATATTTTATTAAGATTTAGGACAGGTTTTTTAAATAAAAGTTTAGAAAAAACGTCTTAGAGTCCAAAAAGGATAAAAATAGTAAAATACACATTCTAGAAGAAATTGTATAATCGAAATTACGTAATTTTTGAAATTAATAATAAATTATTAATTTTAGTCAAACATTTACAACCCCTAATATTAATCAAAACAGGATCTATTCCACAGATATAATAGAATCGCCGACAGGGAGAGAAAATAAAATATGATTGTTGTATTTTTTTTTCTGGTTAAGTGATGTCTTATTATGTAAATTAGAGAAAACATAAATCTGTTCCATTAAAGCAACGAAGGTGATAGGAAGTGGACAAAATGAAAACTACATTTATTTAACTCGGTACTGTTTTATTATACCGTGTGCGTCCCAAAAGTGGCTCATCCCCATAATTTTTTTATATTTTCAAATAAAAAAACAAGATTTAGCATTTTAGTATATGACATAAATTAGGATTGATTGAGGCATTCAATTGTTTTTGGTCACTTCCTGTTTCATCGGAAATGACTATAACTTTTAATTATAACATTTTTAAACGGCACCCTCGGTATATTTCTACTTTATTCGATAGAAAATGACACTCTGAATAGAATGACATATTATATGTCAACTTTTGACATTTTCGCATATGGTTTAATTGTAATTATAACACGCGGTTCATAACGACAATTTGACTCGAAATACCAAGTGTGTGGTATCAATATATTCATAAAAAAATGCTTTTTCCAAATATGCTAATGAGTCACCCTTGTTCCATTTGAAAAAATTGACATATGTATGATTAAAAATACGATTTGTATTGTATACATCTTTTAACCGACTAGACAAGACACGAAACCTATTAGACGATCAAAACTATTTTTCCAAGGCTCCTTGATTAAAACTTAGTGTTTTTAACAACACCATGGCACCCTGGATTGAAATTTAAAATAGGATATATTTTTAAGCGACAATGTCAAAAGTTGATATATGATATGTCATTCTATTCAGAGTGTCATTTTTTATCGAATAAAGTAGCAATATACCGAGGGTGCCTTTAAAAATCAAAAGATGTAATCATTTCGGTGAAACAGGAAGAGACCAAAAACAATTGAATACGTCAATAAATCCTAATTTATGTCATATACCTACTAACATACAAATCTGTTTTTTTTTATCTGAAAAAATAAAAAAGTTATAGGGGTGAGCCACTTTTGAGACGACCCGGTATATTAAAAAATATTGTTTCATAACGTAATATCATTTTAAAATTCTTGTATGTTATTTTAGATTCTGAAGATAATTTTAGAATAAACCGGAATATATTTGTAATAAAAACATTATTAATTATTAACAGGGTTATAATTATGATTTTGTTACAATGTAAGTAAGTAAATAATAGTAATGTAAGATAAAAAAATCAGATTTTACATTTTACTAAAATATTATCTAAATAAGCGCTTTTCTACAACAACGCCACTGACTCCTAATGGGTAAATTGAGAGTTGCCTACCTTAATAATAACGCATTTTCTTAGCTTATAGTCCTTAAGTGTTTATTTTATTGGCTTTTTCTGTTCAAGAACTATAAAATATGGTTCGCCAGTGCCAAATTTGCAAGAAATTTGACTTAAATAATCCATTTAAGTCTTGAAACAACTTTCGACCGGTAGGCAACTCTCAATTTACCCATTGGGAGTCAGTGGCGTTGTTGTAGAAAGGCGCTTATTTAGATAATATTTTACTAAAATGTAAAATCTGAATTTTTTCTCTTACATTACATTATTTACTTACTTACGACACTCTGAATAGAATGACACTCTGAATAGAATGACATATCATATGTCAACTTTTGACATTGTCGCTTAAAAACAAATCGTATTTTAAATTTCAATCCAAAGTGCCATGGTGTTGTTAAAAACACTAAGTTTTAATCAAGGAGCCTTGGAAAAATAGTTTTGATAGTCTAATAGGTTTCGTGTCTTGTCTAGGCCGGTTAAAAGATGTACAAATCGTATTTTTAATCATACATATGTCAATTTTTTACAAATGGAACAAGGGTGACTCAATAGCATATTTGAAAAAAGCATTTTTTATGAATATATTGATACCACACGCTTGGTATTTCGAGTCAAATTGTCGTTATGAACCGCGTGTTACAATTACAATTAAACCATATGCGAAAATGTCAAAAGTTGACATATGATATGTCATTCTATTCAGAGTGTCATTTTCTATCGAATAAAGTAAGTGACCAAAAACAATTGAATGCGTCAATCAATCCTAATTTATGTCATATACTAACATAAAATATAAAAAAATAACATAAAATAAATCTTGTTTTTTTATTTGAAAATATAAAGAATTATGGGGATGAGCCACTTTTGGGACGCACCCGGTATAATAAAGACAGTACCGAGTTAAATAAATGTAGTTTTCATTTTATCCACTTCCTATCACCTTCCTTGCTTTAATGGAACAGATTTATGTTTTCTCTAATTTACATAATAAGACATCACATATCCAGAAAAAAAATTACAACAATCATATTTTTTTTTCTCTCCCTGTCGCCGATTCTATTGTATCTGTGGAATATATCCTGTTTTGATTAATATTAGGGGTTGTAAATGTTTGACTAAAATTAATAATTTATTATTAATTTCAAAAATTACGTAATTTCGATTATAAAATTTCTTCTATAACGTGTATTTTATTATTTTTATCCTTTTTGGACTCTAAGACGTTTTTTCTAAACTTTTATTCAAAAAAACCTGTCCTAAATCTTAATAAAATATAAAAAAGTTTAAATACGCTATATTTTTAATTTAATTATAGCTTCATTAAAATAAACAAATTACCCGGCTATGATACGGAGAGTTCAGGTGTACTTGAGAAACGAAAGACAGTGTTGTGTTTCTCGGCAGAGTCGTCAGGGAACGACCGTTACGACAGAGACAACCTATCTATCGCTCGTGTCGCACTCGTTATAATCTAAAACAATAACACAACAATAACAAGACATTGTCTGACCGCATGTTCCAGCTATTTATGAATGAGATGCTCAGTCTATATTTTATTTTCAGTCTATGCGTGCAACGGAAATTGTTCCAATTTTTCTATAACTATATAATTGTGTACCCTAGAAGCAAACTACACGCATGGCCAAAATTATTGCATATAACGATATTTTTATTTTATTTTGGACCTAATATGATTATTTTTATATTTTTGGACATATTGGCTTACTACACGACTAACTAATTAAAATTAAAAATCTAAGTGCAACTAGGCTGTTATTATAATTTTATTTCATAATGAGTGAAAATCAACAAAAACAAATTTCATTTTAAACAGAAAATATTGAAAACAATTTCTCGAGAATAAAGAAAAAAAAAAGAGACTCCTCGAGCCTCAATGCAAGCAGTGAGACGACGACGTGGCATGTTCTCAATTAAGTTGTCCAGAAGACGTTGAGGAATGGCTTCCCATGTTTCGCGCGCAGCAATTTCCAATTCATTTAAGGTACGAGGGGGATCATTCCTTTTGGCAATATGGCGTTTTAGCATGTCCCAAGCATGCTCGATCACATTCATATCTGAGACATCGGTGGCCACCACAGTTTTCTTATACCCTCTTCCTCACAAAATTCGCGAACCGCTAAAGTGCAATGGGGAGGAGCATTATCGTCTATGTAAACAAATTCATCCCCCACTGCCCTTCGAAATGGATGCACAATAGGCTCTAAAACGTCTCTAAGATATGAATCACCTGTCATTGTGCCATCAATAAAAACAAGAGGAGTTCGAGCTCCGTACATTATTCCTGCCCATACCATAATGCTTCCCCCTTGAAAAGGGACACGGGGTTGAGCTGCATTCAAGCGTTCTCGTCTTCCAGATGCTCTCCAGACCGAAGTTCGTCGTGAGTCTGACACTAGGCCTATTCTTATTTCTTGTTTCATCACTAAACATGACGAAATTCCAATTAGGTCCATTTGCTCTCATCTCCTCAGCCCACTGTAGTCGCGTAATTGTGTGCTGTAAATTAAGCTTCAAAACACCTACAAGCCTCCTTAAATGTAATCCTCTGTCATTGAGTCTTCTTGCTATGGTCTATGGGCACCAAAACTGTAGCTGTTAAAACAACGCAAGGAACTCCACAAGGTGGAGTAACCTCCCCTTTGCTGTGGGGCTTGGTGGTGGATGAACTACTAGACGAATTAACTCAAGCGGGAATACACTGCATTGGGTATGCAGATGACATAGTCATGATCGCTCGGGGGAAACATGAAGGCACCTTGTGCGATATTATCCAAAGAGGACTCCGTATCACTGAGAGATGGTGTAGAACTGTCGGGCTGAGTATCAACTCAGACAAAACCGCGATAGTGCCATTCACCAGAAAGCGAAGTCTGAAAAACTTGAAAAGAATCCAACTAGGTGGAAAGGAAATACTGCCAACACAGGAAGTTAAATACCTGGGAATAACCCTGGACAGTAAACTCCTGTGGAACAGGCATATTAAGAACACTACCAGCAAATCCATAAAGGCTCTCATGTTATGCAGAAGACTGGCCGGAAATAGATGGGGCTGCTCCCCTAACATTTTGCGCTGGATGTATACCATGATAGTAAGACCCATGATTACTTATGGAGCAGTTGCCTGGTACACAAAACTAGAGCAACGGACGGCAAGGCTAAACCTATGCAAAGTCCAGAGACTAGCATGCGTTTGCATCACAGGAGCCATGAGAACCTGTCCAACAGCAGCAATGGAGGTCATTCTAGATCTAACACCACTGCACATTGTCATTGGTAGATATGCCAATGCGACAATGATTAGAATGGTTACTAACGGAATTAGTACTGGGAGAATTGTCAGATCAGGGGCTTGGAACACCCTCATAAAGGAAATACCACTCCTGCAACTCCCAGTGGACGATATGCCAAGAACGTACAACTTTGAGAAACATCTCAATGTAGTATTGAGCAATAAAAAGGATTGGAAGAGCGAAACGCTTGCCCAGCAGTTAAAAAACCATACCATAACTTGGTATACTGATGCTTCCAAAACCAATACGGGAATAGGGATCGGAGTGTTTGGGCCGAAAGCTAAATACTCCGAACCAATGGGCACTTACCCTAGTATCCTACAGGCAGAAATCTACGCTATCGAAAGATGCGTACAACTTATCTTCGATAGGAACTATCGGAAACAAGAAATAGCCATCTTGTCTGATAGTCAAGCAGCGTTAAAAACGATCAACTCAGTATCAATCAATTCGAAATTGGTCAAAGAATGCATAGAGAAGCTGAATAAATTGGGCAAAGAAAACAAAGTCCTCCTACTCTGGGTGCCTGCTCACCAAGGGATAGAAGGCAATGAAAATCCAAATAATCTAGCTAGGAAAGGAGCGAACACTCCACTAACTGGACCAGAACCGTTCTGCTTCCAAGTGGTAACCAACTCAAGGCGGAACTCAAGAACTTGGAAGATTCCATCCGCAACCTGGAATGGAAATCTTGCAACGGTCTAAGACACTCGAAGAAGTTTCTGAGGACTTATGATCAAGAAAAATCACAAATCTTCCTGGGTTTAAGTAAGAACAATCTTCGGATTGTCACGGGGTTTTTAACAGGTCTCCTCAATGAACACCTCAGTAGATTGAAACTAAGAAGAAACGGCGAATGCAGATTCTGTGGGGAAGATGGGAAAACACTAATACACCTCATCACTGAGTGCGCCGAGACGACAACCATTCGTGCCATGAATTTTGGTACGACTGATATTGGAGATGGAGAACTACCCTCTATAAAACCGTCCCAGATACTGGCTTTTGTCAAAGCCCTGGGACTGTATGATGAGTTATGACTCAAGAAAGGGGGACACAAAGGATCTGTAAGGTCGCAGTGATTAACCCCCCTCCCACTCATTCTAAATTCTAAAAAAATTCTATGGTCTTTCTTGAAACATTTACTCCTTCAAGGCGAGCTAACTCATTTTTAATAGCAGTACTAGAAAGCAGGGGATTGCGTCGTGCAGTTAGGGATATTTGACGGTCTTGCACAGCAGTAGTAACTCTCTTTCTACCTCTTCCAGGCCGGTCTGTAATCTCGTTTGTCTCACTGAATTTTTTTAATATTCGCGAAACATTGCTTTGGCTAACTCCTACAATTTCAGCTATTACAACTTGCCGGTAGCCCTGTTGAGACAGTGTTACTATTCTGACTCTATTAAACTGTGAAATAATGTTTCTATGCATTTTAAGGCCAAAATAATGGTCAAATTTCTTCAGAAAACCCAAGAGACCACAAATCAAAATGTGCAAGAATTTGTAATAATATTGGGTCTGAACGATAAACATTGTTTACCGTATCCATTTTAACAAAAAAATGTTTATTACAGATTATCAAAGCTATGTATAAAAAAAGATTCTTTAAATTCCTTTCCGTATATTTTTAAACGATATATGCAATAACTTTGGCCATGTGTGTATGTTAAGTAAGTCCAAAATTGGCATATTTGAGTCACTCCAAAAAATGTCGGTATAATTTATTTAAAAAACTGTTTTACATTTTGATTTAAGTTCAGAATAAGTTAATATTCTTTTAGTTTTAATACTGAATCGTTTCTACCACATTCAAAGTAAGGCTAGAATAAGTTTAGTAAATTTAAAAAAAATGATATAAGCTTAAAACTTTACCCCTCCACTGTAGATGCCGTGCATGAAAGAGCTGATCAGAGACACTTGCTCAGTGATATATTCGTCCGATTTCCAGGTTCCAAGATCACGGTTTATTTTTGTGACCAGTTTTTTCAAAAACAACTCGAAAGCGTCGTCGGTAGCTGCAAGATTTCCCGATTTAAGCTTGGTGGATTTCGTTGCGAAATCGTAAAAACTCTCTTCGATCGCCTCATCGTACGATTCCTGATGCTTGGGACGGAATTGCTTAGGAACTGTAGTACTATCACTAGTAATCTAAAGAAAACGCCAGCTTTTTTTGGTTCTATAACTTGTATTCTAACCTATACCCGTCGACACATATTTAACATTTTACTTGTCAGGCAAAATGGAACAAGCAAGGATTTGCTTGATACGTTTTGACTGGACAGGTAAAACGGTATGTGTAGGGGTAACTTTAGAAAAAAAAATTCGTTACCATCAAGACAGTGGCAGAGGCATTAAAACTATCATAGTACGATGAAACAGAAAAGAAAATATTAACTCCAAATTCTGCCGCAATATCAGCTATATCGTTCCATCCAAATAACGTTCCCTCAACGGTACCATCAGTAGATTCCTCAACTATAGGAAAACCCCCATATTTTTTGACTATCTACAAGATTGTTATGTAAAAGAAAGAAAAAAAAACGGCGTTAAATCACCTTAGAAATGCCGACAGATTAAATCTAAGGTAATTTGACCCCGTTTTTTTTGTTAATATGCTTACTTCGATTTCTGGGGATTTCATGTACTGGTTGTCCATAAAATTCTCTTGCATACAGGCTGTATAAGCTGCTTTAGCCTTTTTTAGTGAAAACGGGTCTTCTATTAGTTCCTGGGAACTTAAGATTTCTAAAAGCATATTTTTTATTCTTTTTTTTTTGGCTTCGAACGCTTGATAAAATGGCCAACAGTAAATTTTTATCAATGCCACCTAATATGATCTTTATCTGGTCTTTATCTGGTAGTATTATGTCTGTTTTTCGGTTAAAGTATATTGTTCTTTGACTTACCCTGTACGATATCAGTCAGCGAGTCTTCCAAAATACTGAATTCGTCTATCAGCATCTCGTTATCCTTTAAAGGATACAGATTTTTAAAGTTACCACAAGTGTATTCATAAAAATCCTCACAAGGGTCGGCACTAAGATTCATGTATTCATATCCATCAAAATCTATAGAAAATAGATTTTTTTTTCATTGATGTTTATACAGTATGTTTCAAAAAACATGTGCCATCTCTCATGGGGAGATTCCTCACGTAAAAATAAGATTCATTTTTCATATCAACATACCGATTCTGCTTTGTTTCGTAGCTACAGGGTGTAAAAGTCTTAATAATTTTTCGATTTATTATAATTTTCTTCCAAGTATTTATAGTGATTCGAATCAAATTTTGAGTGTAAAAGTTACTATAAGTGCTACTAATTCATTAGGGACATTCATTCATCAAAAATGTGCGCAACTGACTTGTATAGGTGTAGGCCTTACTTGTGGGGGTAGGCCGTTTAATACCAATTAAAAGCTATATCTTGATATTTTGTCGAATTTGGCCTCCTTGACGAGATAAATGCAATTTTATTAATCACCATTTAATAAAATTACAATGAAAATAAAATTAATAAATTTGTAATTAATAAAACTTTACCTAACTTATTATTAAATATTATTGTCAGGGGCGGATACAGGAATTTATTTTAGGGGGGGGGGCAAAACAAAAAGTAATGTAGAATGTGCTTTTTAGGGCGCCATTTTTAACCGAAAAGCTTAAGATTTAACCCAATTTACAGATTTTAGGGGAGGGGCATGGGCCCCCCCTCTGTATCCGCCACTGATTATTACTATTAGTCCAACCCTTTGAATAAGAAGACTAAGGAAGGAGCATAATGCTATCCATGTATTCATGCATGGTGGGCGGAAAAGCCACCATAAAAGCTCTCTAGGGTGGGGATCCTTGACAGTTCTGTTTGACGATTCATTTGACACATTTGAATTTGATTTGAAATTTTGTGGATTTGTCAGTCTTTACGGAGCTTATTTTATGTTATTTATTATTTATTCTACTACTGATAGTTGTATAAAGGTAGTAAATCTAGATGGAAATTGTGGCAGAACTTAAATTAACAGTGACACTATCGCGATTTATCGAAAAAGACTCTAAAATATTTGGTTGTGTAGCGTGCGGTAGATCTCGGCAAAAACTGAGTGAAATAATGGAACAACTTTTCGCTAGTAAGTGACTATATAATATACATACGTGTAGTAAACCGATCATTTATGAAATTCACTTAAATTAACTAAATTATATATTTTTCTTGCATTTTAGCTTTTATTTATTACTTGTCAAAGATTAGATGTCAAAGAATTTAGATACGTTAATTTGACTTACCTGCTTCAGTAGCGTATCGGATGTTTGTGTTAATAAATATTTATTATAACTTATCTATTTTTATTAGAATTATATATTTTTATAACAATTTTAATAACTACCAACATTTATTCACAACGTAAAATAAAACAACAAATTATTGAGTCTACCCCACGTCTACCCTACATCATAGTTTTACATTTTTTAAATAAAATTAGAACGACACTGATAAACCGGAATTTAAGTCGGCCATATTTGAGGCCCATCGCGGTGTACCTAAGATTTTTGATATGCTCCTTCCTTAGTCTTCTTATTCAAAGCAAAAAACCTAATTTTAAAAAGTTTTAACATCCTGCAACTCTAAAACCAGAGAGAAACTAATAACTAGAATGAGAGGGCTTGTGGAATAGGGCATTTCGTAGACAAGTTTATTTTGTCACCGCGCATTCCAGACGCGCATAGCGTTTAGGCGATCAAAAAAGTAAGTTTTCAACTTTGCAAGTTAAACATTTGACAGGATTAATTAGATTGTCAGTAGCTTTTTCTATTTTGTAGTTCTAGAAGGAGATAACTAAAATCTGTTGATAATCGGAGCAAATCGGAGTAATAAATTGTTTTTGACTGAATGTACCTGTTCTTTTAGCTTGTCAGAAGAGAAGATTATTGTCATTATTGATTATTTCAGATTCCACGATTATTCGGCATTATTGTAATTTTTGTTTTGTGGTTGAGACCCAGACAAAACGTTTCCTTTAAAGGTAAGTTTTATCTCGGTAATTATTTTAACATACCTAATAGTAATAGTGCATGAGTGCACATAATAATCGTACATTGCTAATTTAATTTTTTTAATTTAAAACATCACATTCTTTTCTGATACCTATGGAACGACTAGGTATTATACCTGGTATTATTTCCAGTAATACAAATTATTTTCTTCGACTGCTAGGTTCTTGTTATAGAATAAAGACTATCAAAAACATTGAATACCTACGGGATACCTACTGCTACTCTGTGCGAGCTCCCAACCGTGCTTCCCTGTTCACTCCCAACCAAGTTAGATAAAAAAGATACTGAAGATTGCAGCCTTGAGTTGGAGTATGGCAAGAAGTATGGAGTTAAATAAATTATTATGTTCCTACACAGTATTTTATTTATAGGTTTTAATACTTTAAAGTCTATAATAAATTTTCGTTGTCAACAAAATAATCTAAAAAAAAACTACGAAGATTTCTTATTATAAACTTGAAAGATTAAGATTCGGTTCAAATATACAAATTTTAAATTTTTGGCGCCAGTATATAGGTATGAATGCAACCTACTATATCGATAATGCGCTCATAGTTCGGGTTAGACGCCAAAGGCTGCGCCACTAGCGCAGTCTTCAAAAATTAACGTTGATCGGTCTCTCTCAGTTTATTTATTAGTGTTCTCTCTGTCTAAAACTATGCATTTCAATATCCATGTTTATAGGAACTTTTCTTCATAATTTTTGATGAGGAATTAATGAGTACTTATTTAAAACTTTTGCAAGTTACTGATATCACAGAATATCTAGCTACGCAACAGAAGCCTCGTTACATGTATAAAATCGTAGGTCTCAAAAGGAGACAGGCTTTAAAAGCCTGTCTCCAAATCAGATATTTTGATGCGGTAGTTTCACTACTACATAACAGAGGGCGATAAATTTAAAAGAAAACAGTTTTCTACAAACGAAATTTAAATGAATTTTATGCAGTGTTGCCATTGTGTAATTTATATTGTAATATTTCCTGATAAAGCCTAGCTTCAAATTTGCTACATCATTTAAACATATTAAAATAGATTAGAGCTCTTTTTTCAAACGTTTAAGTATTTAACTCGCCATGTTAGTTGGAGTTAAATCTTACGAGCTGAATTAAAATCACTTTCTGACGTTTGATTCTAACTGAATCCTGAATTTTGATTGTAATTCGGCGACAATATAATAAGTATTGTTCTACTATTATGACACCACTTCCTGACGTTCGATTGTGTTCATGCCGTATAATCGGAAAAAAACGGCGTTAGCGATGGCTATGAAATGAAAATCGCTGTCATTTTATGTGTAAATTTATATGGGAAATGTCATCGATCGTCTTTTCCCAGCCAACTGGACGCCGTTTTTTTCGGTATCGTACGGTATTTGATATATACTTGCGTATTTTTTATGACATTGCAATATTATGGTACCATGAAGCATATCAAATGATACCGTAATATAGTACCATATTACGATACATGGCGTTCGATTGGGCTTAAACTTAATATATTACGTATCTTCAGTGATATTGTAATATTACGGTACCATGAAGCATATCAAGAGGTACCATAATAGTACATAGAGGTACCATATACGATAGAGGTACCATATACGATACCATTTCCTGGCGTGCGGTTGGACTTATACTTGGTATAGTAAGTATCTTCGGTGACATTGTAATATGATGGTACTATGATGCATATAAAGTGGTACCTTAATATAGTACCATATTACGATACCACTTCCTGACGTTCGATTGGGCTCATATTTGATTATACTTGCGTATTTTTGATGACATTACAATATTATGGTACCATGAAGCATATCAAGGGGTACCATAATGTAGTACCATATTACCATACCATTTCCTGGCGTTCGATTGAGCTTAAACTTTGTATACTACGTATTTTCGGTAACATCGTAATATGATGGCACCATGGAGCATATAAATTGGTACCTTCTATAGTACCATATTATGATACCACTTCCTGACGTTCATTTGTGCTCATATTTGATATATACTTGCATATTTTTGATGACATTGTAATATTATGGTACAATGAAGCATATCAAGAGGTACCATAATAGTACCATATACGATACCATTTCCTGGCGTTCGATTGGGCTTAACTTGGTATAGTATCTTCGGTGACATTGTACTATGATGGTACTATGATGCATATATAAAGTGGTACCTTAATACAGTACCATATTACGATACCACTTCCTGATGTTCGATTGGGCTCATATTTGATTATACTTGCGTTTTTTTGATGTTATTGCAATATTATGGTACCATGAAGCATATCAAGGGGTACCATAATGTAGTACCATATTACGATACCATTTCCTGACGTTCGATTGGGCCCAAATTTGATATACTTGTGTTTCTTTATAAAGATTTGTTTAATTAATAATTTTAATTTATTTTATGAATTTTAATTTATTATACGATGTCGTGACAGCAACTTTTATGCCGAACTAATATATTATTAATTGTACGTGTGTCACTTTTTAAAATCTTCCTAGGTCTATATAAATAACGTGGCAAACAGAAAAAAATTGTTATTATAGTATTTTTTTAATCAATTAACATTTTTTGTACTGCATTTTCATAAATCATTTCCATTATTATTAAACGTATATTTCATTACTAACTTTTCAGCATTAATAAATATCACTATCAATCGCCCTGTATATTATTAATTTTAAAGGTAGTTAAAGTTATTTTCTTAGTTAACATAATAAAGTGGTGTATATTAAAATTGTATTTTGAGAGCATATGTTTTCTAATAATATACTTAAAATTAAAACTATTTTAAAAGCCAAACGAATAATTAATATAAGTGTATCTGACAAGAAACGAAGAATAGAAAGGAATTATTATACACCAGAAAAAGAATGGGATGCCAATTAAAGTCTGTTTGAATCTGGCAACTGTGCATATTTTGCCGAGCTTCCAGGCCGTCGACGTGCCGTCGATCTACATCGATCCAAAACCGAAAGTTGAAAATTTCCAATTATATTCTGATTATGATATTGTCGCGCCATCTAGTATTTTATTTGTGCAATTTTAGCTCTTTCATTTCGAGTATTTTTCTGTTGCGTAGCTAGATATTCTGTGCTGATATGCTATTAGAGTTGGATCAAGGCAAATTAATAAAATTGCGTTTATCTCATCAAGGAGCCCGAAATCGACAAAATATCAAGAGACAAACTTTTAATCGGCATTAAAATGCTTACACTGTTTTGCTAACAAGAGAAGAAAAAGTCAGTGGCGTACATAATTTTTTTAGAAAGATATTCCTGTGATAACCCACGTCCCTAGTGAATTTATCGACACTTCTTTAGCTTTAAAATGTGTCGTATTTTATAGTAACTTTTACCCTGAAAATTTCATTCGAAACGCTAAAAGTACTCGGAAGAAAATTATAATAAATCGAAAAAATATTAAGACTTAACACCCTGTAGCTACGAAACAAAGCAGAATCGGACCTATGTTAATATAAAAAATAAATCTTATTTTTACGAAAATGACGTATTTACGTTTTTTTGAAACACCCTGTATACTTTAAAAATAATTTTCTAATAAGAAAAATTGTTATCTTTACTTTGTTTAGCTGCAATAGCAAGTAATAAATATCAAATAAAATTAGTAATATCTTTATTATTTTTTGTTAAACTGACCTGTATCATCCGAATATAATCCAGAGCTCAAATTTACACTCACTATCAAACAGATCACCACAAAAATATTTGAATAAACACCCATCGTGTTTTAGCTACTAAAAACAATCGAAGAACTCTAAAACACGGTATTTTTTTAAAGAAAATTATATATTATTCTTTTAAAATTGCCGAAAAGGGGAATATAAATGGCATGATACAACGTTTCAAATTCTTTTACTAACTGCCATAGATTAGAAAGGTTATTAGAAAAGATTAAAATTCAAACTGTGCTAACTTGATGATCTTAAAATTTAATCTGAATAATTCAAACGGTTTGATTGATGACTGACTTTTTAGGGGACATAGAGTAGATTTTATTATCTTATAATAATAGTTTTATCTAATATGGAATTTACATCTAAACAATATCAATGACAAGCCATACTCCACGTTTTGATTATTATTAATATGTTGTTCTTTATCTAGATCAGGGAAAAGCAGAACAGAATGTCCACTGGAGAAATAGACGAGACTCTGGACTCTGGCATAGGAAGGATCTAGTTCTAAAACCGGAAGAACTATGCTTCCACCCAAGTAGCATTTTTGGACACATGTTTCTAATAATTCTATATCATGGTTTTGTTAGGTTAGGTTAGGCTACTACACAAGCTACCCCAAGTAGCATCTATCTAACTTCGAACTAAATCTGACCTGAAGCGACGTCAGACTTTGTGCAAATTTAGGTCGGGTGCTGGTGATACGACCGGTGACGTCGCTTTCCTATTAAAAGCGACGTCGTTGGATCCGAGTCGGTAAATCCAACGATCTGTCGACGTACAAAATAACAGCGTACCATTTTTATTAATTTCCCAACGTCGTTCCCACGTTGGCTTGCACGACGTACATATACTTGAACTAGCTCGACGTCTACCCGTTGTCCGAATAGGATACGTCTCACTGATAAACCCTAAAGTAACGTCCAATTATATTTTGTTGTATTTTATGTTCATATTTATAACCTAATTTACGTATCTCTATTTACGTCCGTAAATACAACCCATTAAGAGTGCGTTCCACTAAGCGCTCATAATGCTCAAAATATGCCTTCGGTCGTTCCACATGACGTTCGCGGACGTTGTGGTCGCGGCGTAAACGTCACTAATGACGTCATTATTTTCGCTCACACCGAGCTCACAACGACCCATCTGAATATTAGGATCGAAGTGGACGTTGAGGAATTTTGGCGCAATTTTTAAAATTTAGACAAAAGATTATCGACTTAGGATAAAAATTTTCATAGATTCTCATAGCCAATAATACGTGGCCTAAGTGTTCGCTTTTTACGTCGCGATTTTGTAAAATTGCATTCCACTATTAATTCGTCTGAACTAGATGAAGAAGTTTCAGACACATTCCGATGCACCAAATATCCAACTGTCGCCAAAGACATTTTGATTTCTTTTTTTTAGACAGATTTTTTGAATTCTCTTCTGTGATTTTGACTATTATTTACTATTTATTTACATACATTGATAGGATTGACGCTTAAAACGCCCCATAACCCATTCCACTTGAGTTTATGATTGTAACGCTCGCAAGCAAGTGGAACGGGAAAAATCGCGATCTTGAGCGTGAACGTTATGAGTGCTTAGTGGAACGTACTCTAAGTAGCTCTTCCCGCGCTTCAGCTGACAGTTGTGACGTCATTGTAGTCCTTGTCAAAGCCTTGTCATGATAGTGTGTATTATTAGTTGCCTATGGTAAACTTATAAAAATAACAGCTGAGAAAGTTTGAGTTAATTATTTTGTCAATTTTAAATGTGAAAAAGGTGTCTTTAAAGTTTTTAGAGCTATAGAGTGTATAAATACGTTCATTTTGTGTTGTGGATTGTGACAAAGTGCTTACTAAGTGCCCACGATTTTGTTTATTAATTATTTTAAAGCAAAATATGGAAGTACTCTAAAAAGAATGCTTGCAAAAGGCGATGCTGGGAACTGCTGTTCTTAAAAATGCATTATCCGAGTATTTAATACGATTTATACAGTTAATTTTCTATACTGCATACATATAAGGTGTTTAAATAAATAAACTAAACAATGAACGTTTTGTAATCGGCAACCAATAATGCACGTGTGTGTATTATTGGTTGCCGGACAAGGACTAATAACCATGACAAGGACTACAATGACGTCACAAAGCGAGTAGTTTTCGCATGCACCTGGCGGACACTGTTGGCTGAATGAGCAGTCCTATTAGGTTAACTGACCTCAAATCCAAGGAGGCAATAGAGAAAGAGGGATATATCCTCTATTATAGATACGGGACAACACCGGTATCAGGTCTAAGGAGAGACCAAGTTAAAGAGGTGGAGAAAATGGAGACAGATCTTCCAGCCTCCACCTCATGGGTTCCTCAGCCGGAGGCAAGCTCCTCGACTGTGAAGGGCGGCCCGGAGGGCCAAACTCCAACCGTGGAAGGGTGTGTACCCTCGGAGGAAGAACTGTTGTCAGAGTAGGATGGGAAATACACTGTCCCCTCTACAACAGGGGTATGATGGGTTATAGACTGTGTGATGATTTAAGGAAGGAGGGCACAGTAGATCTTTAAGGTCGCAGTGATTAACCCCCGCCCCCTCTTAGCCCACGGCCACACAGAAAGCGTTTTTTGCGTGAAGCGTCTTTAGCGACTAAAACAAAATAACAGGATTATATAGGAGTGGCTACACCAAAAGCGTGTAGCGTTCGGCGTGTCTCGCAAACAACGCAAATCAAAACAAATCAGTTTGTTTTCTGTAGCGTCTTTAGCGTTTTCTAAGATGAGACCCCGTCATAGGCGGACGTTATATTTAATAGTACAATAAAAATAAATTAAATAGTATGCATATTTTTGTCATTTTAGGGTATTATCTTAAAATATTTTTATAAAGAACATCTACTGTTTAGGAAGATTCTATTAAATTCAAAAATTTGAAGGAAATGTTTGAAAAAGTGTAGTTTGAAATGTTGAAAAAGTAATAAATTAAAGGAATATTTTCTTTCGCGTAAAAAATTGTTTTTTATGCGTAAAAAAAGTCCAGAGACTAGCATGTGTTTGCATCACAGGAGCCATGAGAACCTGTCCAACAGCAGCAATGGAGGTCATTCTAGATCTAACACCACTGCACATTGTCATTGGTAGATATGCCAATGCGACAATGATTAGAATGGTCACTAACGGAATTAGTACTGGGAGAATTGTCAGATCAGGGGCTTGGAACACCCTCAAAAAGGAAATACCACTTCTGCAACTCTCAGTGGACGATATGCCAAGAACGTACAACTTTGACAAACATATCAATGTAGTATTGAGCAATAAGAAGGATTGGAAGAGCGAAACGCTTGCCCAGCAGTTAAAAGACCATACCATAACTTGGTATACTGATGCTTCCAAAACCAATACGGGAACAGGGATCGGAGTGTTTGGGCCGAGAGCTAAATACTCCGAACCAATGGGCACTTACCCTAGTATCCTACAGGCAGAAATCTACGCTATCGAAAGATGCGTACAACTTATCTTAGATAGCAACTATCGGAAACAAGAAACAGCCATCTTGTCTGATAGTCAAGCAGCGTTAAAAGCGATCAACTCAGTATCGATCAATTCGAAATTGGTCAAAGAATGCATAGAGAAGCTGAATAAATTAGGCAAAGAAAACAAAGTCCTCCTACTCTGGGTGCCTGCTCACCAAGGGATAGAAGGCAATGAAAAAGCAAATAATCTAGCTAGGAAAGGAGCTAACACTCCACTAACTGGACCAGAACCGTTCTGCTTTCCAAGTGGTAACCAACTCAAGGCGGAACTCAAGAACTTGGAAGATTCCATCCGCAACCTGGAATGGAAATCTTGCAATGGTCTAAGACACTCGAAGAAGTTTCTGAGGGCTTATGATCAAGAAAAATTACAGATCTTCCTGGGTCTGAGTAAGAACAATCTTCGATTGTCACGGGGTTTTAACAGGACACTGTCTCCTCAATGAACACCTCAGTAGATTGAAACTAAGAAGAAACGGCGAATGCAGATTCTGTGGGGAAGATGATGAAACACCAGTACACCTCATCACTGAGTGCGCCGAGACGACAACCATTCGTGCCATGAATTTTGGTACGACTGATATTGGAGATGGAGAACTACCCTCTATAAAACCGTCCCAGATACTGGCTTTTGTCAAAGCCCTGGGACTGTATGATGAGTTATGATTCAAGAAAGGGGGACACAATGGATCTGTAAGGTCGAAGTGATTAACCCCCCCCCCACTCATTCTAAATTCTAAAAAAAAATGCGTAAAAATTGTTTTTTTTCTGCGTAAAAAAGTTTTTTTTTAACAGGAACAAATATTTTTTTCTGACACGTAAAAAATATTTTTTTTTGCCTAACAAAAGGTTTTTTACCAGAAACAATAAGTTTTTGGCGCTTAAAAATTAGTTTTTTACGTGTAACAAATAGTTTAGTAAACGTAATTTTTTTTTTTGCGTAACAAAATAGTTTTTACATGTAACAAATATATTTTTACACGTAACACATAGTTTTATACGCACAAAAAATAGTTTTCTACCAGTAATAAATAGTTTTATACGCGTAAAAAATAGTTTTATATGCGTAAAAATAGTTTTTTACGTATAACAAATGTTTTTTACACGTAATAATTTGATTCATTTTTACAAAATTTGTATTAAAATATCAATATTTTTGATAAACACGTGGACTGCTCACGAATACACGTCGCGTCACTACGTGTTTCTAAGCCGTTAACACGTTTCGTTACAACTAGCTCGTGTGTCAGGGCCGTCTTGCTAGCTCGTATGTCACGGCCTTGAATTTTTACTCCCAGCGCGCGTAAAGAAGTTTGACTCCAAAATGTTTCATAAATCATGTCCTAAAATTGCATTAGCAACTAGAAATATTTACTATTCTGTTATATAATTATAATTATTTATTATATTATATTATAATTATAACAAGTACTAACCACAACACTTCAACATAAAAAAAACTATACACTGATAAACTAAAATTCCTAAAATAAATGGCAAATAATAATTATTATTTTTACGCACACCACTGGCACTAGCAGTTGATTGTGTTTGTCTCCGAATATATGCCACGGCCCGTCCACAATTCAATCCCAGCATCTTTTATCTTTGTCTCTTCACCGCTAACGGCGCCAATCTCGCCTATCTCTTTCTCACAGGATTGATTGATGGACGGGCCGGGAATCCACGAGCTTGCGACGTTACTAATTGACATCTAGATAGAAACTGCGGACCTGCCGCGTCTTTTGCGTGTTTTTAATGGACACAAATCGACAAAA